GGGAACCCTTACAACGAAACACGGGATGTACACACTCTATCTACAGGGAACCCTTACAACGATACACTGGATGTACACACTCTATCTGCAGGAACCCTTACAACGATACACTGGATGTACATACTCTATCTACAGGAATCCTTACAACGATACACTGGATGTACACACTCTATCTACAGGAACCCTTACAACGATACACTGGATGTACATACGCTATCTACAGGAATCCTTACAACGATACACGGATGTACACTCTACTCTACTCTATCTACAGGAACCCTTACAACGATACACTGGATGTACACACTCTATCTACAGGAACCCTTACAACGATACACGAGATGTACATACTCTATCTACAGGAACCCTTACAACGATACACAGGATGTACACACTCTATCTACAGGAACCCTTACAACGATACACGAGATGTACACACTCTATCTACAGGAACCCTTACAACGATACACAGGATGTACACACTCTATCTACAGGAACCCTTACAACGATACACGGGATGTACACACTCTATCTACAGGAACCCTTACAACGGTACACGGGATGTACATACTCTATCTACAGGAACCCTTACAACGATACACAGGATGTACACACTCTATCTACAGGAACCCTTACAACGATACACTGGATGTACACACTCTATCTACAGGAACCCTTACAACGATACACTGGATGTACACACTCTATCTACAGGAACCCTTACAACGATACACTTGATGTACACACTCTATCTACAGGAATCCTTACAATGATACACGAGATGTACACACTCTATCTACAGGAACCCTTACAACGATACACTGGATGTACACACTCTATCTACAGGAATCCTTACAATGATACACAGGATGTACACACTCTATCTACAGGAATCCTTACAATGATACGCGTCATGAAGATCATTTTCAAATGAATGTTTTGTGAAGGTTATGGTGTTCAGTAGAACTTGGCGCCTACGCACATTACTCTTTAGCTTCAAGTTCCTTTCATGCAAACTTTATTTTCTTAGTTCACAGGTGTTATTTCCAATCTTTGTGCTGAAGCAAACATAAATTCCTTTTGCAAATAGTACCCAATTCTACAGTAACTTATTATTTTTAGGAACCACGTCGGACTGGCGATATCAGACGTCATCTGGCAGCAGTTACGTTAGGTGATCATTTGTACGAATAGGATATATATGGAATACTATCACCGAGCGCAAAATAGCAAATAGATGGGAACACACAAATTCCTCTTGCAACGTGGAAAAATATGTCAGTCTAGGCAGCGGTAGAAAGTAACATTTATAGCAATAGACAGTGAAGACGTTCGACTTCGAAACGATGACATTACTAACTCACTTTCCTCCTCTCTTTTCTCGATATGTGCGACAGTAAGGCGTGTATGTAAGCTTTACTGTATGTAAGACATATCGTCCTTATAACATCTATAAATATTGTTGATCTGCTTGATCAAAACTAATCTACAGGAATCACGCCAATCAGGGCCAACCAAAGCAAAAAATAATTGAATTTAGATCAATCGTCGTTCTTGATTACCACCACGTGATATGTCCGTTTGTAGGCCGACCTCGTAGCTATGCTGGGACATATGCAACGACAAGTGGTGTTTATTTCAAGGCACAGGCAAACTGTAGCGCAAACAGAGCTGCGCATCAGAGAAAAATGACTAGTCTTTCTTTATACGAGCGGAGCGAGCAAAGATTGGCAACGTGCTTCCCTCGCTTCTGTTCAAATATATTTTTAATATCAAAATAGAATATCGCTACTGTAGCAGGGCGTGGAGTCATCCCACAGATGACATCCTTACCTTGTCAGGTACTTACCTAATAATAACTACTCACGTACAATATATTAAATTTATAACATATTTAACGGCATCGGTCCTCTCCTATTTCCCCTGCCACGGACTTACTTTTTCAAACAAGTCGGTTGCGTTGTGTATTACTGCGCCACGACGTTGACAAAATATAAAATGTGTACCTGTTCGACTCTCAAGTGGCTCTATACGTACCTGAAAGACACTGGTGTAGTAATCTGCATATCCCTTATACAGGAGCCAGTATACCGATACATGTCATACATACATCCAGATTGCAGCAACTAGTATACCGATACATGTCATACATAAACCCAGATTGCAGCAACTAGTATACCGATACATGTCATACATACACCCAGATTGCAGCAACTAGTATACCGATACATGTCATACATAAACCTAGATTGCAGCAACTAGTATACCGATACATGTCATACATAAACCTAGATTGCAGCAACTAGTATACCGATACATGTCATACATATACCCAGATTGCAGCAATTAGTATACCGATACATGTCATACATAAACCCAGATTGCAGCAACTAGTATACCGATACATGTCATACATACACCCAGATTGCAGCAACTAGTATACCGATACATGTCATACATAAACCCAGATTGCAGCAACTAGTATACCGATACATGTCATACATAAACCCAGATTGCAGCAACTAGTATACCGATACATGTCATACATATACCCAGATTGCAGCAACTAGTATACCGATACATGTCATACATAAACCCAGATTGCAGCAACTAGTATACCGATACATGTCATACATATACCCAGATTGCAGCAACTAGTATACCGATACATGTCATACATATACCCAGATTGCAGCAATTAGTATACCGATACATGTCATACATAAACCCAGATTGCAGCAACTAGTATACCGATACATGTCATACATAAACCCAGACTGCAGCAACTAGTATACCGATACATGTCATACATAAACCCAGATTGCAGCAACTAGTATACCGATACATGTCATACATAAACCCAGATTGCAGCAACTAGTATACCGATACATGTCATACATATACCCAGATTGCAGCAACTAGTATACTGATACATGTCATACATAAACCCAGACTGCAGCAACTAGTATACCGATACATGTCATACATAAACCCAGATTGCAGCAACTAGTATACCGATACATGTCATACATAAACCCAGATTGCAGCAACTAGTATACCGATACATGTCATACATAAACCCAGATTGCAGCAACTAGTATACCGATACATGTCATACATAAACCCAGACTGCAGCAACTAGTATACCGATACATGTCATACATAAACCCAGATTGCAGCAACTAGTATACCGATACATGTCATACATAAACCCAGATTGCAGCAACTAGTATACCGATACATGTCATACATAAACCCAGATTGCAGCAACTAGTATACCGATACATGTCATACATAACCCAGATTGCAGCAACTAGTATACCGATACATGTCATACATATACCCAGATTGCAGCAACTAGTATACCGATACATGTCATACATAACCCAGATTGCAGCAACTAGTATACCGTTGCATGTGATGCCCGTTTTCCCCCAAAAAGAAATAGTTAATATAATGCATGCCATATATAAAACCCAACAACAAGATCTGTCAAACTGACTTATGTAAAAAAGAAACTCCTCCTACCGGAACCGTCATACTGATATATGTCATATATAAACCCCTCCTACAGGAACCGTCTCACTGATATAATATTATGTCATTTATAATCCCTCCTACAGGAAGAGTCATACTGATATATGTCATATAAATCCCCCCTTACAGGAACCGTAAGCGTCATACTGATATATGTCATATATAAACCTCTCCTACAGGAACCGTCATACTGATACAGGTCATATGTAAACCCCTCCCACATTAACCGTCATACTGATATATGCCATATATAAACCCCTCCTACAGGAACCGTCATACTGATACAGGTCCTATGTAAACCCCTCCCACATTAACCGTCATACTGATATATGTCATATTTAAACCTCCCCTATAGGAACCGTCATACTGATATATGTCATTTATAAACCCCTCCTACAGGAACCGTCATACTGATACAGGTCAGATGTAAACCCGTCCAACATTAACCGTCATACTGATATATGTCATAATTAAACCTCCCCTATAGGAACCGTCATATTGATATATGTCATATATATACCCCTCCTACAGGAACCGTCATACTGATAAATGGCATATTTAAACCTCCCCTATAGGAACCGTCATATTGATATATGTCATATATAAACCCCTCCTACAGGAACCGTCATACTGATACAGGTCATATGTAAACCCCTCCCACATTAACCGTCATACTGATATATGTCATATATAAACCTCCCCTATAGGAACCGTCATACTGATATATGTCATATATAAACCCCTCCTACAGGAACCGTCATACTGATATATGTCATATATAAACTCCTCCTATGGGAACCGTCATACTGATGTATGTCATATATAATCCCCTCCTACAGGAAGAGTCGTGCTGATATATGTCATATGTAATCCCCTCCTACAGGAAGAGTCATACTGATATATGTCGTATTTAAACCTCTCCTACAGAAAGAGTCATGCTGATATATATCATATATAAACCCATCCTACAGGAACCGTCATACTGATATATGTCATACTGAAACCCCGAATGCCGGAACCGTTATACATAGGATGCACATACCCACTACTGCAACCGTTATAACGATGGATGACATATATAAACGCCGAGTGCAGGACGCGCTATAGCAATACATGTGATGTACATACCCTACTTCGAGAAAAACATTATGCCACACATGTAATACTCATATCCCACGTGCAGGAACTGTTTTATCGGCATTGTTATTTTCATTTACAGAAAGTATATTATATAAACCAAGAAAAATTAAAATGTGTCCAAAAGTTAGAAATGTGGTTTTGTTTATATAGATGGAGTTTGTACACAAAACTGTTTTGAAATTGGCATCCAAGCAATATGACTGGTATGTTGATCATTGTTTATGCGGGTGCTTAGTCATGACAGACAAATATGAGTACATAATGTCAATTAAAACATTTCATGCGTCTGATCTTGAAATACATTTTCTAACTCTCTCCACCAGACTCCAGTTACAACAGACGGTCATCAAGCTCTTACCCTTGGAATGGAATGGCGACCACATGTGAGTATTGCGAAATATGAAGACTGAGGTCAAGGGTGCTTTTTCAAAGAAAAATGTCCGTTCACACCAACTGTAAAATATTCTGAGACATGTTTCATTTTCCTCCACAGACCCGTGGTATGGGGCCACTACAGACAGAGGTAAGTGTTTCAATTCTCACAAGGTGCAACATATCCGCGATATATGAATTATGATTTTCAAACTCCACGTGTATGAAGTGAGATACTGACACGTGTGACTTTCAAACTCCACGTATAGGAACTGTTCTATCGACATTTGTGATTTTCATACCACACCTACAGGGACTGTTTTGTTAACAAAAGTGATTAATTTCCTTAGGCTGGGGCTCCCGATGGCCTTACGAAGGTAAAATCGAGTGTAACATTTATTCTGCAGTTTTACATATATTCTGCAAACGTTGTCAAATGAATGTTTTGTGAAGGTGTTCAGTAATGAGCAAGCGCCAACGCATATTATTAAACTTAAAGTTCTTTTTATGCCAAATATAAGTTCTGAGTTCGTAACAACTGCTATGTCTGGTGTTTTTGCGGTAAAACAAAAATCGATTCCACTTGCAAATATTAACCAATTCAATTCAATATTTTTAGGAACCACGTCGGACTGGCGATATCAGACGTCATCTGGCAGCAGTTACGGTAGGTGATCATTTTCACGAATAGGATATATATGGAATACTATCACCGAGCGCAAAATACCAAATAGACGGGAACACACAAATTCCTCTTGCAACGTTGAACGTCTCGTTTGGAAAATATGTGTCAGTCAAGGCAGCGGTAGAAAGTACTCTCTTAAAAGAATTTATTGCGTTAGAACAATTATTTCATGGAATGTCAATGGTGAAGAGGTGACAATTCACACGTTTATAGACAAGGACTTCGTCAACACAACAGCATCCTTTATTATTATGTTTCTGTTTACTCGAGTCCACAAGATGGCGTCAAAGACAGTACTTTGTATGGCCGCCATTGAAAGCAATCACTGCTCGGCACCGTCTCGGCAGAGACTGGATAAGTCGACGAAGTCGCTCTTGTGGAATTCTTCCCCACTCTTCCAGTTGTGAAAGTGTGTCAGAGGCGTGTTTGACGTTGATGTACACGTCGATCGAGTTCATCCCGTAGGTTTTCTATCAGGTTTAGATCTGGCGATCGGGAAGGCCATGACAAGACATTGACGTTAGAATTCGGCAAGGCAGAGGACCGTAACGCGTGCTGTATGTGACGTGGCGTTGTCATGCTGGAACAACTCCCTCTGTCGGTCCATAATCGGAAGCATGTGAAGTGCAAGGACTTCGATGATGTACTGATTTGCTGTCAGATCCCCTGAACCACCATTAAATCATATCCTCGGGTGCTGTATTGGCGACGCTCAGTCGTGGCATGACGATTTCCTCGTTTCCTGGCAAAAACGAATGACAAAATTAATCACAACGCTTGCTTTTTATACTGCATGCTTGCATGCTGGTGCTTCTTTGAGACGTTTTGGCAAATATTTATTCAAACGCTTCAAAAACAATGGAAAAGGTAAGAATTGCCGTGTTTTGGCGCTAAAGCTGTTTACAAACATGACGTTTTGGAAAGAAATAGTAACTATATTTGTATTGTTTTGGCTGCAGACAACATGAGTCCATTATTCTCCAAATCACCTGTGTGTTGTTATTTTTGAAGAGTGTAAAATTAATAGTAATAGACAGTCTAGCAATACGTGTTTCAATGTGATTTTGAAAAAAATGAATTCGTTTGTTATTGACGTCGTACTTCGAATTTGATGTAGAACATTTATTTACATTTAAGTGCCATCTATGTTCAATATTGTCTGTCTAGTTTTATCTGTATGGTTTGTAAACGTGCTTCATTGATAATCGAGCAGACAGTGGCTACACTGTACAGTTGTGTAACTGGGGACTCACCCCAGCAAGCTCTGACCATCCTTATTAATGATACAACATCCAAAAGCTGTTGATGATAAATGCTCTAATTGATGTTCTGTCATCATAGGTGAATGTACAATTACAACATTTCAGGCTGCGGAACAAAACACAGCAACAGCTTGTCGGGGTACATCACATCTCCTAACTACCCAGGGGACTACTTCAACAACGCCCACTGCGAATACATTATCGACCCTGGCACTTACGTCTACCTTCACGTTGTCGACAAAAACCTGGAGCCTTGCTGTGACCATCTCGTGGTATAGTATATATACCCAATCTCTCATACAGTAACGTGGAAACAAACCGAGCACTGATTGATCGATGTTTGAAGGATATGTGAGCGAGTGAGTGAGTTTGGTTTTACGCCGCTTTTAGCAAATATTCCAGCAATATCACGGCGGGGGACACCAGAAATGGGCTTAACACATTGTACCCATGTGGGGAATCGAACCCTGACCTTAGGCGTGACGAGCGAACGCCTTAACCACTAGGCTACCCCACCGCCCCAGGATATGAGAATGTATGTAGTTCGATCAGCGTGAATCACAATAATACATTTGTATGTCTCATGATTGGCATTCTAAAAGTAAATAAGGACACAATTTTACAGATAACAACTTCTTGTTTGTTGAAAAGAGGAATGATTCGATATAGATTCCTACAACGTTATCAAGCTAGTATTGACCAAGTGAACCGGCGCCATATATCTGAAATATTGCTGAGTGCGGCGAAAAACTAAACTCACTCACTCACACCCAAGTGATGAAAAGTATATATGCATACTTACATACTTGTCAGCCTACAAACCAATGAACATGAACAGATCACAGAAACCAAACACATGTACATGCATACAATACAAGCAACCAAACCCTCTTGATATTCGTAGATATAAAAGCATGATGAGTCTCGAGTAAATCATCACAGTTTCCACTGGGCATAAAATGTAAAAAACATAAAAAAAAATATGCCAAAGGGATAGGGTATGTTCCAAGTAGGACCCACAAACCACCCAATTGGTTCATTGCCTGATACGACACGGCAGTATTCTTGTAACATCAGGTTGTAAACAATCAAGTGAATTACAAGAAATCCAGATCACACACGACTTTTTAAAAATGTCCTAATCTTAAAGCGTTCAGTATTTGCACAATAAATCTGGTGTTTACAGGTGCAAATGGGGGAAAATGGTATTATGGAGAGAAATGTCTCGAGTGCGTGCCATTTTGTAAATATTGGGGTATTACTTTTACAAAAACAATAGCGTGGGCTAACCATTCAAAAAAGTGCGGCTTTCATGGCTAGAACAGTTCTGTTAGGCATATAATGGACATTGCATAGATTTAACCCAACTCCGTTTGAATTACTCTTTAATATATTTGATACTAAAGTTATGCTTATTTTACTCTGTGGGTCTGAATTTAGGGGGCTAGATAGTGTAACAAATATAGAAACCATTCACGTGTAAACGCTTCCTTGGAGTGAAGGCATCGACACAAACTTACACAGTACTGGGTGAATGTATCAGATACCTATTGTATTTTATTGCATTTAAACGTTCTATAAAATTATGGATTAGATTTTTATATATGCCTAATGTAAGGTATCCATAGAAGTGGTATTAAATGCCTTCAAAAATATTTGAGTTTCCAAATTGAAGTATTTCTTGTTTGGAGTTGGATTTGGCTATGTCTCGGAGTCACAAACAGTAAGTAATAAAGAATCCTAATATCGGAACTTACGGCAAGATAAAAATGTTCGTTTGAATAGGACTGACATTCCTCTCTTTTCCACATTTCTAAAGCTTCAAACTTTCTTTAAAGGTATCTTTGGAACGAAATTATACCTCAACTGATTAACAATGGCAAACTTCAGCGTGTCCATGACGCACTTTCGTTGCAGTTTTATGGTCTCAAAATAGAAACAGATATGTCGATATTCCTATAGATAAAAGTGTGTGCACTGTGTGTAATGAAAGCTACATCGAAGATGAATACCATTTCTTGATGGTGTGTGGCCGGTATAAAAAATTGCATGACAAGTACATGCTTACTAAATTTATATTAACTTTAAACAGTACGCGTAACAAATATAATATGCTCTTGCCATCAACAGATGCTAATGTCGTTAGAAAGCTGGTCATGTATATTCATTATGCAAATTGCATCAGAATAACGTGTTGATGATATATATATATATATATATATATATATGCTGACTGACAAACTATACGAACATATGCCGTAGTTCTACATTTTCATGACTAGAGATTTATACACCAAGTCCGGAAATCTGTCCTGCTTATAAACAAAAGTAAGAAAGAAAAAAAGAAAGATTGAAATAAGTACATTCGTGACGCAGTGGCCGAATTTCTCAGCCCAAACAGTTCATTTGTAGCTGTGAGTCAGCATAATTGAAACATACCACTAACCCTATGACGAACCTCACTCAAGGACTTTAGTCCACCAACAGCGCCAGTGAACCACAGTACCATGTTGTTCATGAATGATTATCAAATAGGGATAATACAACGATAATCTTATGGCCGGTGGGTACATGTACACCCATAGTGGCAAAACAAGCTGAGCAAAATACATTGAAATGCACCTCAAAACATATGAACAAACACAAAACAGGAAAAAAGCAAGAAGGGTACGAATTGGTTGTCCAGATACACACTGGGACAATGCATTCAAAACACAATGACACTGAGCATGGTATATTTTGACAAAGATTTCTAAAATATGAGTCTTAAATCTGTTTCAGTTTGTTTAGACGTATTTTTGCAGATATATGATCAACATGACAACAACGTGACTGACACCGACTATCTTTATGGGAGGTACTTCCGGGTGGTGTTTACTTCTGACAGTAGCGAAGTCTATAGAGGCTTCAAACTGTACTATGGCCCAGGTAAGTATATAGTTGTCTTTCCTAGTATCCTATCTTAACAGATCTACATCGCATGAATAATTATACAGTTTGGGAATTCAAAAATATTTACATACGTCCTGTGTATGCATTAGTTACTGTAAACCCATGTAGATGACGAATCAAGCAATAATGCCACGAACCATGTGTATGGTATACATAACCTGTCCACACGCATATCAATCAACACAAAAGTACGAAACATGCACATGCATATAATACCATGATACATGTACAATATTACGTCACAAAGCTATACATGTATACAATGCCATGACACATATGTGTACACACACACACACACACACACACACACACACACAAACAACAAAAAAGAAAAAAACCCCCCAAAACCAACAACAAACAAACAAAATAAACAAACAAACAAAAAACCAAACACACACACACACACACACACATACACTTATGTAATATACATGTTTGTGTGTGTGAAATTACACACATGCATACAGTAGCGAGACACAATAGTACAAAGAGTAATGATGTCAGGAGATAATTGTACCACGTAAGTTCCCCTTTTGGGTCTGCAGTAAATGCTCTTTCGATTGATTGTAGATTATTCATCAATCGCGGCGTATCTCTCTACAGGTAAGCATGTACTTCTGCTCAATGCATAATTTGAAACTCTGAATGCTGATTATTTCGCTCGTACATTTGACCATCTTTATTAAGATGAAAGTGCACGGTGGTGAGATGAAATGGTGTTCGAGGTGGCGTTTAAACTTATTGCACTAATTTGCGATGCCAACGCACATGTGCTTGACAACAGTACAGACATCTATATAGAAATGTCGCATTTACGAAACAAAATAAGTTGTTATCCATAAAGTTTGTCAATTATTTGCTTTTCCCCCATAATGCTATAGTGAAAGTCAGGATAACAAGTGCCAACTCTCAGTATAGTTTTGCAGCAGGTGTCCAGAAATCGAGCCATCGATCATCCGGTCTGCGGGCCGAGGCTCCCTCCACAAGACCACGGAGGTGGTCTGTGAAATGAAAAAGGATATAGTCTCAATAAGATTTACCAGTCAAAAAAACCCTGAAAACGTAAAATATGTCCGAAAGTTGGAAATTGGTTTTGTTCGTCAAATGTGATTATATACATCGAGTTTACACACAAAACTATTTTGATTTTGGCAACCAAGCACTAAGATTAGAAGATCATTGCAATTGGTTACCGGGTGCTTGGTCATGTCAGACGAAATGCGGACACAATGTCGAATTAAGACACTTCATGCGTCTGATCTTGAAATACATTTTCTAAATCTTTCCACCAGACTCAAGTTACAACAGACGGTCATCAAGCCCCTACCCTTGGAATGGAATGGCGACCACATGTGAGTATTGCGAAATATGAAGACTGAGGTCAAGGGTGCTTTTTCAAAGAAACGTCCGTTCACACAGTTTTTAGAATATTCTGAGACATGTTTCATTTTCCTCCACAGACCCGTGGTATTGGTCCACTACAGACAGAGGTAAGTGTTTCAATACTCAAAAGGTGCAACATATCCGCGATATAAGAATTATGACTTTCATTCTCAACGTCTATGAACCGTGATACTGACACAGACGACTTACATAATCCAGGAACTGTCTACCGACATTTGTGATTTTCATACCACACCTACAGGGACTGTTATACTAACAAAAGTGATTAATCTCCTTAGGCTGGGGCTCCCGATGGCCTTACGCAAGCACCGAAGGTAAAATCGAGTTTTACATTTATTCTGCAGTTTTACATTTATTCTGCAGTTTTATATTTTTTCTGCAAGCATTTTGAATTGAATGTTTTGTGAAGGTTATAATGTTCAGTTTTGAACTAGCGCCAACATATTATTGAAATTAAAGTTTCTTTTATGCAAAATATAATTTCTCAGTTCATAACAAGTTTTATGTTTGTTCTTTTGCGATGAAACAAACATCAATTCCACTTGCAAATATTTACCAATTCAATATTTTTAGGAACCACGTCGGACTGGCGATATCAGACGTCATCTGGCAGCAGTTACGGTATGTGTTGAGTTGCAAAATACCAATAGACGAGGACACACACATTCTTGTTGAAACGTTGAACATATGTGCCAGAGATGGGAAGTCACATTAATAGTAAGAGATAGTCAAGACGTTCGACTTCAAAACGAAGACATCGGAACTAGCTTTTCTCACTTTCTTTTCTCGACATGTGCTACAGCAACTTAAAACACATGGAGACACCTTCTACATGTTATCACTTACTGCAGTGTTATAAGTGAGTTGTTGATTTCTGGCAGTATGTGTTTGTGATTGCCATGGTTATGATTTTGAATTAAATGAATTCGTTGGTTATTGACACACATGACAAGTTTCGACTTTGAACTGTGAGTTTTGAGGGGAACACAATTATCGGGAATATAGTATATGTTCGATCATGAGTACAAATTCCAACTGGTGAAAATGATTTCGTAAACGAAATCCTTTCTACGTAACCATCCAAGTCGAACCTAATGATGTTACATACACGATGCTTTCTTAAAGATTCCGGACCAAGATGCTCTATTCCGCTCTCAGGCCCACCTACAATGCTGGAGCACATGAATCACTCTGGGTAGAAAGCATCCTCCTTGTTGTATAAAAATCCCCCAGAACAGAAATGAAGTCATTTACATTTACTTCCACTCTTGGACGCCGTTGTCCATCCTTCAAGAGCGCAAACGTAGGGAGCATCGTCCCCTAGAGATGACATGGTCGCATGTGTGACTCCTTATTATCTTCTCATTATCAGTTGGATCTGCTTGATGACGGCACGGTAGCCATGTCTCACCAAAGTTTTATCAACACCTTGATGCCCGTAGATATATTTTCCCATGTTGTATATATCTGGTTCAAATCTATTATGTGAGCATGGATAGTATAGTACTTAATACCTGTTAACTGTTATGGGTTTATTGTTAGGCTTGGAACTCTTATTGCTTATTATGTAACACAGAAAGCGATCGTTTCCACTTCAGCTTTGTTATCTTTTCTCAATAACATCTATGTATTTTTGTGTGGACGATTTTTATAAGTGCATAATTGATAATTATACATGCAGTGACTACACTGAGTCACTGGTTACTCACCCCAGCAAGCTCTGACAATCCTTATAAATGATACAACATCCAAAAGCTGTAGTTGATAATTGCTCTAATTGATGTTCTGTCATCATAGGTGAATGTACAATTACAACATTTCAGGCTGCGGAACAAAACACGGCAACAGCTTGTCGGGGTACATCACATCTCCTAACTACCCAGGGGACTACTTCAACAACGCCCGCTGCGAATACATCATCGACCCTGGCACTTACGTCTACCTTCGCGTCGTCGACAAAGTCATGGAGTCTTGCTGTGACCATCTTGTGGTATAGTAGATATACCCAATCTCTCTCATACAGTAACGTGAAACAAACCGAGCACTGATTGATCGATGTTTGAAGGATATGTGAATGTATGTAGTTCGATCAGCCTGAATCGCGATAATATGTTTTGTTGTGTGATTGGCATTCTTGACGTTGGAGGGTAGGTGAGGAAGCGTACAATTATACAGATAGGAACATCTTGCTTACTGAAAAGAGCGACGTTTCGATGTGGATTCTTACACCGTTATCAAGCTAATATTGAATATTGCTGAGAAGTATATGTGCATACTATTTTGTGACAGGCATCACCTATCATTACAAGGGTGTAGTCAATGTTATCTATAAAGTTGTATGCTTTCATATCACATGCTTCCCGTCCTTTCCCCTTATTGATGTGACCCGTGAAGATCCGGGTTAGAATTGGTCTTCAGTAGCCCATGCTTGTCGTAGGAGGAGAATAACGGGATCAGGTGGTCAGACTCGCCGACTCCAGCTAGTGAACAAGACATACCTGACAGCCGACAAACGCAATAACATGAACATATCACACATCCAAACACACAATTACATGCATACAATAGAGCAACAAAACCCTTTTGAGTTTTATGAATACTCACAAGGTGCAACAATATACAACGTCAAAGCGATAGAATGACAAATCTCGAGTACTCCACAACAATCTCCACTGGGCGTACAATGTATATAAAAGCATCGACAATTACATGAATGGTGTGATTACATGAATGCAGAGATTCTGCTGCTTTATGTACAAACAAACAGAAAGATAGAAATAAGTTCATAAGACACAATGGCTGAATGTCTCGAATGTTTTTATGAATCGGATAGGGTTAATACAAGGTATTCGAAAAAACACACAACACGACAAAAGTATATCTGATCGGCACTCATAGTGACGAAATATGCAACGCAAAATACACTGAAATGTCCCTCACGAAACACGAATGGAAAAGCACATTAAAACACATGGAAAAGGCAAGAAGGTTATCCAAATACAATAAACACCACAATCGGGAATTTATACATAAAACAAATTCAATGACACTGTGAAATTTCAAGACAGTTTTGACAATGATCCTGAAATATCATTCTTACATGTGTTTAGATTTGTTACCTTAAGACTAAGTTATTTACAGATTTATGACCAACATGGAAACGACGTGACTGGCAATGTTTATCTTTATGGGAGGTACTTCCGGGTTGTGTTTACTTCTGACGGCAGCAATGTCCAAAGAGGCTTCAAACTGTACTATGGTCCAGGTATGTTGTTATCTTGCCTATACTCTCATCTTAACAGCTCTACTTTGCATTCATAATCTACAGTTTTGGGAATTATAATTACTAGTACATACGTCCTGTGTATGCGTTAGTTACTCAAAGCTCATGGAGATTACGTATGAAATGACATATATGTATACATAAAAACATAATACATATCTAAAACGACTGGTCACTCATCCACGAACACCATACTATGACATATGTACATTGATACAACACCACGAGACATACACAAGACACATACAGTAGCAAGACGATAAACTTGTAAATGATGTGCAAATGTAGACTAATTATGTCCGGAGACCATTCTACTACATAAGTTCCCTGTTGGGCCTGAAGTAAATTCTTTTTTCGATTGATTGTAGATGACTCATCATTCCCGACGTATCCCACGACAGGTAAGAATAATTCTGCTCAGTGCATATCTTGAACCTCTGAATGCTGATTATTTCGCTAGTACATTTGACCCTCTTTTTAAACATGACACTGAGAGGTAGTGAAACGATATGAGGTTCGAAGTCTCTGTTAGATTTATTGCACTAAACTTGTGACGCGCACGCACATGTGCTTGGCAACTGAACGAGGATCTGTATCCGAATGTCGCACTTACGAAACAAAAGAATCAGTTATCCATAAAATTTGTCTATATTTTGCTTCTCCCCATAATACAATAGTGAAAGGCAGGATAGTGTAGATTTGTAGAAGGTGTCCAGAAATCAAGCCATCGACCAACCGCTCTCCGGGCCGACGCCCCCTCCACAAGACCACGGAGGTGGTCTGTGAAAAGAAAAGAATGATATACAATGTAGTCACAATAATATTTACCAGTCCAAAACCCCAGAAAACGTAAGATGTGTCCGAAAGCTAGAAATGCGGTTTTGTTCGTCGAATGTGATTATATACATCGAGTTTTTCTTTGTCCATTCCATTCTCCTTCTTCCATTTCCTCCCACAAGAACCATGTGTGTCCCATGTCCTGCCTGTGTAATTTCCTTCATCTATGTGTTCCATGTCCCAACACATTTATATCCAAGGCTGTCTATTTTCCACCTACTCTTTCCGTGTTTATCTCCATATTTCCTCCCATGCCACCACTGCTTTTCATTTTCCATTTATTCTTTATTTTAAATAATTCTTTTCTGTGTGTGTTCTTTCTTTCTTATTATTAAGTTCTTTTCATCTCATTCCAATTTTCTTTCTTTATTATATCATTCTTTTGTCCTTTCTTTCCTCCAATTCCACCTGCATATTTTATCAATTCTATTTTCCAGGTGTGGCCTCCATGTCCATCCGTTGTGTCCACTGGGCTCCTTTATGTTTATGTGTATATTTCCATTTTTCATGTGCTTGGCTTTCCATACTCTGTCTCTGGCTGTGTGTGTCTTCCGTCCTTTCCTCCGTTCATATTTCCTTTTGCTGTGTGTGTGTCCACTGGCTGTGTTATTTATATTTGTGTGTGTGTCCTTCCTCAGTACATGCATGTGTCTGTGTGCCTGTGGCTGTCCTTTCCTTTCCTTCCTTGTCTTTCTGTGTGTCCATGTGTTCGGTGTCTGTCTCTGTCAGTGGTCTGTTTATGTCCTTCTCGTTATGTCCGTGTGTGCTTCTGGTCTGTCCGTGTCCTGGTTCCTTTTCCATTTCCTTCCTGTCGTGTGTGTGTTGGTCTCCTCATTTTCTTTCTGTGGTTGTGGTTGTCTCCATTTCCATTTATTTCAGTGGGGCCTGATCGGCTGTGGCTTCTATGGGGTCCATTCACTCTCCATCTGTGTCTCCATATTCCATATACTGTTCTTTCCATTTCCTGTGTGGGATCAGTGTGTCCACCTCTACCACCTTCCTGGTGTCTCCCTCATCCTGTGTGTTTCATTCTCAGCTGGGGCTGTCATTTCAGTGGCTCAGTCCTTGTGGATTGTGGGCTGATTCGTGGCTGTCCTGTCCTCTGTGTGTCTCGTTCCTGTGTGTGTGTGTCTTCCTTCCAGTCCTTTGTCTGTCCATGTGTGTGCCACTTCTCGTGTCTGATTCTGATCCTGGTTCCACCTCTCCACTGTTCCTTCCTTCTGTGTCTTTCGTGTTCTGGGTCCTTGGGGATCAACTGTGGGGCTCCTGTGTCTTCCTTATTCTCATCCTATGTGTGTTGTCCGTTCTACAATACTGTGTGTGTGTGTCCACTGTGGTCATGTTCGTCTATCCTGCTGGGCTGTGGCCACTTCATGCTGTGTCCATCCATTCAGTGGGTCCATATACATGCTGTTGGGGTCAGATACTCTCACTCACAAGACCACTCACCTTGGACACTCACTGGATTTTTTTTTTTGCTGTTCCACTGGGACCCTCACTCCTTTCCACACTACCTGCCTCACTCCATGCCCGTGCCGGTGGCTCGTCACATCCCTCACTCCACTCCATAGCTCACTCCTGCCTCATCCTCTCACCCTCCAACTGCCTCGCTCACTCGCGGACCCTATCTGCTACCTCGCTCATTAGCCACACCCTGTTACTGCCTGCTCACTCACCCGGACCCTATCTGCTGCAACTCACTCCTGCACTACCTGCTAGCTCACTAACCACACCCCTATTTACTGCCTGCCTCACTCACCACACCTCTACCTACTACCCTCACTCTCACTCACCACACGACCCCTAACTATCACTACCTAACTCACTCCACCCCTACCCCCTACCTGCTAACCTCACTCCACCAGACCCCCTATCTTACTACCTAACTCACTCACCACACCCCTACCTACTGACCTTCCACTCCTCCACCTGATACCTATATCATTCTTAGAAACCGAGCAGCACCTGGTGGGCTGGTCATCACGAGGTAGGAGTAAAACTGTCTATCAGTGTGTGATGTGAAGAGTAGTGTATATACTTATAAATGAGTTATTTCCCCCAATGGAATCTTATATTTCATGTCAAGTATGTCGGCTGCGAATTTTACATGCATATGTAACAACGTGAGAAACACACCTTTAGACAACATTAATCTTTGGATTTGTTCTAAAGTCTTGGCCCTATATTTGATTATTAAAACATATGGTATGAGATCTCTGGTCCGTTTTCTTTGTAATAGAGAAGCTCTCATAATTGCTTCTATATGATCGATGTCCAGTAGTATATATATAGCATGGTCAAAACTTGTTACCCCTCACATCACCTTGTATCGGCTGGAAGCTTGCGTTAATAACTCTGTATGGTGACAGTAACAGATTAGATCCAACAAGTTGCTAGGTATCGTCTTCAGGAAGTGTCATCACGTGGCTCGCCTAGTAACAGGGCAGCCAATCGAGGAAGGACTTTGGTTGTAACTGTGCTGAACACTGTAATGTGTTTGTTCGATACTTACTTCAGCACAATATCAGGTTTCAAAACTAACGATGAGTAAATCAAATGTTTCCGTCGTAGCTATATGTTGCATGAAAGGCCCATTCTTTCTTTTCCTCATCAGCCTGCCCGTCTGTCATGGTGTCACCTGTGACTCCCAGAGATTTCAAAGTGACTGTACCACGTGACATGATTCAACAAGTGTTTCAGGGGTCATCTCCATATGACCTGACCCTGGATGACCCTAACTGCAAGGGACAAAGTCTACTATGACGTTGTGATGTTTCTGTTCAAACATCCTTGGATTTGGTGGTAGTATGACAAGGGAGGTAACTAACCCGTCCCTAATACGTGTTGTTTTCGAGTAATGCAGAATATCATGTTACTTTGTAAACATTGATTTCACGTAATGTTGAAATAGAAAAAAACACGAACGAAATATTAATACTCTCGATGTCGATGTGGATGTATAAATGCAATTAGTAATATATACTAACTGAAAAGTGAACTTCGCTTCATATAATGTTAATATATAATGTTATATAAAATAAAGCGGTAGCCCTTAGTGGATTAAAGCGTTTGCTCTTCACGCCGATGTGAAGCCCATTTCTGGTGTACCCACACGATATTGCTGGAATATTGCGAAAAGCAAACTAAACTTCACTCACTCACTCAATAAAAATATATTTACTGTGATATGATATGATATATGGCCTTGGAAATAGTTTTACACGTAATATTAACATACATGTCAATGTATTCGAAAGTTCACACCCGATCAGTTAAACATACAAGTTGAATTCATTTTACATTATTTTTGTGGAAGTAATCTAAAATCCTGTTTTAATTCCTTTATTTTGTACAATTATGTCACAGGATTGGAACACCTTTTGTTCTATCACTACAGGGCCAAGGAGCGAGCGGAGTGTTTACCCTGCTTTTAGCAATATTCCAGCAATATCATGGCATGGGATACCAGAAACGGGCTACACATTGTACCCATGTGTGGGATTCGAACCCACGGTCGTCGGCGTGACAAACGCAATCGCTTTAACCACTTTGCTACACCACCGCCCGTACAGGGCCATGACACTCACAACCAAACAATTGTTTTAGGGTTAGCATAATCTTTCCCCTGTAACATTTTAGACAAGTTGCCATGGCAAAATCAGTTACCATGACCCTATCACGTATGACCAAGAAGAGGGCAGTACACCCATTTCGCCAACAACTGGTGTCATCATTGTAAGTTTGCAATCGGAACTTTGAACGAAATCTACATTTCTTTGATCCCTAAGATGCTCACGATTGATATTAGTGGTCATAAATACAATATGTCGTTCACGAACGATTGGCATAATTTCTTTATGTATGAATGAGCTTACAACTTAAAATGACGCGTGAAGCGCGTGTCTCTGTGCCTCTGCTGAGAGTAACTACACGCAAGCAAGATAGCTGCATCGAAGTCAAATGTGAAATGGCCAAGGTGTGAAGGATTAGTCGTTACATCTACATCAATCGATCTCTGTTTCTTTTGTAGTGGAGGCCATAGGTCCAGGGTACAGTTCAAAATACATATGTGCATGTATAATTCCATAAGACAATAAGTTAATTTACAAAATATACCAAAAGTAAATATGATATTGTTGGCATAGGGAGTGGAATCTCTAGGATTCATTGCATTGTTTATATATACAAAACAATCTTTTTACAATATCTGATTGACAATTTACATGAGCATATTAAACTTATGAATAGTGGGATTTGAATAGAGTTTGCGTGGTAAATACAAACATCTTAGATTTTTGATAATACTACCAACATAAAATGAAATTAATTTTCAAGAAAGTTATCTTTACATACAAAAACATAAACCTATTTTGATCTGGGTTGATTAATATATCGACCGGTTTCAATTAAGGAGGCGTTGTGATGAACCTCTGAAGTTAGCGAGGGCTGATGGAAATTTTGAAATTGATAAATCTTTATGTAAAATTCAACACCAAATGAAATTTTAAAACAAGAATAAAGTAAAAAAGTTAGGACTATTTACAAGTGATGTGTGCCATTCTTG